TTCACATCCACCGTTTGTTCTGGTTCTACAGGCTTCACATCCACCGTTTGTTCTGGTTCTACGGGTTCACATCCACCGTGTGCTCTGGTTCTACAGGCTTCACATTCACCGTTTGTTCTGGTTCTACGGGTTCACATCCACCGTGTGCTCTGGTTCTGTGCTGAAGTAGCCTTCCTAACCTTCAATGTGGCTCATTTACCATTGCTTTAGGTTTGCTGTCGTGCTCCCACACTCCCTCTGAATCAGACATACAGGCTTCTGGGAAGCGGCGGATTTCCTGAGGGACGGTCCAGACAGAGACCAGGCCATTCTGGCAGCATCTGGAAAAACAAGAGGTTTCCTTAGAAGAGGCGCCGAGACCTCAGAGAAGGTGCTTCTGAGCTGCAATTTCTAATACTTCTACCAAGGTTCTTATGTGAGCTGGCACAGACCCATTCAGTGTTACGTACATGGCGAGCATGCTGAGGGGCTGCGGTCCTCGTCCGGACAGACCGCACCAGGCCACGCTGTTAACCAGGGACGGATGTCGCAGACTTTGCAGGCAGCTCCAGCCGGAACCACGACCTGAATCGCAGTCCCAGGCCGCCCACAGCTTCACGGTCTCCTCCTTAGCGCAGGTCAGTAAGATTTGGCCGTTTGGGCTCCACTTCATACTGGTGATGGACTCCTGAGAATGTGAGGTGGAAACAGACACCAGTTAGAGGAACGCCTCTGGAACCAGTCCGGCTTCTCCGTTCTGCTCCGGCTTACCTTGTGCGCGTCGATGACCACGATGGCTCCTTTCTCCAACGGCTCTTTGGAGCCGATCAGCAGCTTTCCGTCGGCGTAGCCCACGGCGAACGGACGGTCCTCTCTGAACCAGGCGATGTGCATCACTGCCACTGAAAAACGACATGCCGTTACTCCACCTGCAGCAGCACCTCGCCGCGCACAGGCAGGTGGATTCATACCATCCTTCCTGTAGCAGTGCTCCAGCTCCACGCGGTGCATGTCCGCTGCATCCAGAACCTCTATGAGACCCAGAGATCCATCCATCCGACCCACCAGCAGCATATCTTTGGGCTCCCCGCACCACAAAGACTCTGCCTCCTCTTCCGGCCACGCCAGCGCTGACACCCAGTGAGGCTGGACGTCCAGGAGGCCTTTACCGCCTGCAGGAATCAGAGGGTGACTAAAAGCTACGCTTAAGGTCACCTTGACAACATGAGGCTGTCAGAGGCTTTGGTCAGAGGTGAGGAGGAGGAAGGAAACTTTACCGTTAACTTGCCAGATGTTGACCATTTTCTCCATGGCTGATGCCAGATATCTTCCAGTCACACTCCAGGCCAGAGGAGACAGGCAGGGGTCGCTGGGGGAGCCCAGACCGGACATCCCGTCCTCCGAGGAGCCATCACTGAGCAAGGAGACAAACACAGGAGGGTCAGTTAGCGGAGACACCCGGCCTCCTACCTCCAACTGCTTTAAACGCTCTGTGAATACTCATCAATTTTATTGGTCTGTTTTTCGTGCCATGAAAAAAAAACATGTATTAGCCGCACTGTAATATAGGCCGCAGTGTTCAAACAGCGGGAAAAAAAGTAGCGGCTTATAGTCTGGAATTTACGGTAGTTTATGAAGTATGTTACCATAGAAACACCTTTTACTGCAGCTCTACTGCAGGTTTTTCTAAAGGACAACCAGATGTTTTCTATAACCCCGCCCCCTAAAAACACTGAGGAAAAAAAGAGGAAAACAATGCATCCTCATCCATCCTCCCCAAATCAGTAGCCTGTAGATCTGCAGCTCCACCTCAGACTGGATGGAGAACATCCAGTCTGAGGTGTCAGCATCCCTTTCCCCTTCTCCACTGAAGGTTCACGAAGTCGGATCAGAACCGGGTCTGCCAGTTAGAACCAGAGGAACTCACTCCTTGTTGAAGACGCAGGTCTGCTGCAGCGTGTACTGGCTCTTCGTCACGTTCCACACTCGGACCGTCCCGTCATTGCCGCTGGTAGCCAGCAGGCCTTTCTTGCTGCACCAGCTGCAGGTGATGACCTAAACCAAGAACAAGCATCAGGCGCTGAGCGGAACCAGAAATCAGACAGCTGCAGAGAGACAGCACCAACCCTGCTCTGGTGGGCTTCCAGCTTGATGAAGGAGCACTTCCGCAGGTCCCCCGCCATATCAGCGAAGGTCTGCGGACGGCTCTGGTTGTTGTCGCGGTCGTGGGCCGCCAGCGTGCGGACCAGCTGCTGGGCTGCCCACTGACGGTGCTGAGAGGACAGCCTGGATGACAGGCAGCAGGCCGCCAGAGCGTTGGCCAGCTCCAGAGGGCCTACAGCGGAAGGATTATGGGAAGGATGGGCATACAAATGCGCAATTAGACCTGCTCGACACGGAACAGAGGGTGAAGAACAGCCGGTGAGTGAGGGAAGGAGAACCAAAACCATGAAAACACAAACATGAAACAGAAGGTGACCCCAGTGACCAGACAGGATGCATTACACTTGAACTGAAGAAAAACATGGACTCTAAAACAGAATGTCATGATAACATGTCGACAGCGCTGAGCTACAAACCTCTTTTCTCCAGGTCGGCCTTGTCGTAGACCGGCCGCAGCCTGGCCCCCTTGTCGGCCAAAAGGGCCACCAGGGCCTGCGTCACCACAAAGTTCGGGGATGTGATGAGCTTGTTCTCCTCAGCCACGCCGCGCAGGAAGCTGGGCAGGAACTTCCTCTGGATGGGGTCATCCACCGTGGTCAGGTTCATGCCGGTGGCTGCAGAGATCAGATTCTGGAGCAGAAATGGAGCGGAGTGAGAGCGGATTCAGACTGGATCCCCAGCAGAACTCGGCTGCTGAGGACCTGAGGTGGAGGTGGAGGTGGAGGCGAGCTCCAACAACTTCCTATTTCACCACCTTCAGCGGATTCTGTTTAAACACCACCTGGATCCAAAGAGGCCCAGTACCTGTGTGCAGAGCTGCACCAGCAGCTTGGCGGCGTTGGGGCTGTTGGAGGCCAGGCAGCCCACGGCTGTGCTCAGATAGGCCAGACAGGAGATGGGTTTGCTGGCCTTGCTTGTCCCCCGGGGCCTTTCCGAGTGGCCCAGACCCGCTGCCGGACTGGTGGAGAGGCCGGCTCGACCCGCAGCGGCAAGGCACATGAGTCGGACCAGAGTCCTGATGTCGGTTAGGCCGAGGGACTCGAGTCCTGCAGCCAGGCTGCAGCTGGACCCACTGGGAGGGACAGAGAAAACAGAACCCTGCTGATCTATGGAGGCAAACTAAGCAATCCAGAAAAAAACCACTGAAAACGGCTTAATCAAAAAACTGTTTTGAGAGATTTCTTTCTTTATTTATTCATTCTTCGCACTTTACATTCTATTAGGGAGTATTAGGGCCAGGATTCTTACCAGGATTTGTAACATTACGACAATAAAATTGTAATGTTATGAGAATAAAGTCCTAATGAGGAAAATGAGGAATTCCTATCGGTATCGGCCTTAAAACTGAATAT